TCTACGCTCTTGTGTGTGTTATGGTTGTGGGTGTTTTTGGCGTTTCCAAGTTTTCACCATTGGGGGAGGGAAAATAACAGAGGCAACCAGCATGGGAAAGACCAAGAGACAAGCGACCATATCGGCGTCGTCATCTTGAGACTGGAGCGCTTCTTCCCAGCCGAAGAGAGCTGCAGGAAGAAAGAGCAGGCGAGGGAGCGAGCCTCGTCTTCAATTCAATTCATTTTTATTATGATGAGCGGACCGCTGTCTTCCAGTGTTTCTTCGTTGAACTCCGGCTTTGGCTTGTAATTTTTCCTTCTTCTTCTTATATATCTTTCTTTCTTCTTTTTTTATTATGCCCCGTCTTCATTCGCTCGGCGCGCTCTTTTTTATGTTTCCAAAGTTTCTTCTTCCTCTTTGGCTCGTACACCTAAATTGCTTTGGCGGCGGAGATCGCGGCTAAAACTCAAACCCAGCTCGAAAACCGAAACTCGGCTTTTTTGCTTCTACTTGTTATTTTGTTGTTGTTGTTGTTGTCTTCTTTTTTGTGTTCGTTTCGTCTTGACGTCTTTTCTGTGTGCGGCTGGCCGAAGAATTCAAAGTGGGGCCCCAAACCGAGACCCGCGAGACTCGAGGCCCGAGACTTAAGCCTCGCGACTCGAGACTCGAGACCAGACCTGGCCAGAGCGTACCCGATCCGACCAGAGTGGTACGACGGCACAACAGTCAGAGTCAGAGCCAGAGTCGGAGCCAGAGCCAGAGCCAAAGCCCACAGCCCAGAGTTATGGCCAGAGTCAGGCACTGGAGGGAGCGACAACGACAACGACAACGACATCGTCGACCGACTTAAATGCTTGGAAGTTGGCTCTTAAGCGAACACAGTGGACGGGAAAGGGTTTTTATGTAGTAAAAATTTTTGTAACATAGTGTGGAAATAGCTAGGGTTATATATAGGGGCTGATAGTGATATAATATATATTTTTAAAAAACTTATAAATCAAGAAATGTAGGAATCTCTAATAGACTATCTATAGTAACAGAAGTTGAAGTTATGATAATATATTCCAAATTCTAAACTAATCAAAGATTGTTTATAGTCCAAAATAGGAAGCAATCAAAGATTATTTCAAAAATATAATCGTATTATTTCTAATACCTACATAGTCGTCCTTATAAACATATTCGTGGATATAAAACAGATTTCAATCAATTTGATTCTATATATTACTACATAAATAGTGAAAAAAAGGAGCTTAGTTGGAGGCTCTAGTATTGGGCCTTACCACTGCAACCTACATAAATATTATGTAAATAAAAAGATTTTATAATTCAAAATCATTTAGATCTAGTTAATAGTATTGAAACTTTTTCTGTGCTATCGTTATAGCTAAAATCTGTTAAAATTTGTACTTAAAATAGATATAATAATGAACTAAATAATATAAAATTGAGGGCTTAGTTGAATTTATATACAAAATATACTTATAACAATTATAAAGGCTTATATTTTTGAAGGCATCTAAACAAGTCATTATAAAGATACAATTATGGTTCCCTTTTTCAATATTTATTTAAATAAATAATTAAATAAATGTTAAAATTATATTTAAGACCACTGTGCCTCCACAGCGGACGACGACGTTTCGTTTTGTTGCCGTTGTTGTCCCGGGCTCTGGCTTTGGCTCTGGCTCTGGCTCTGGCTCTTAGCTCTTGGCTCTGGCTTTCGGGCAAACATTTCGTGTTGTTGCTGTTGTTGCCTCTGACGATGACTGGCTCCGGCTCTCAGGTTGGGTTGCTTTCTGCTGGCTCGCTGGCTGACTGGCTGACTGGCTCCGGCTGCTTGGTTGGCTCATAACCTGAAACTTGAATATTGTGGAATTTGAAGGTAGCGACGACGATGTTGCTGTTGTTACTGCAGCAGCAGCACAAGCAGCAACACTAACAGCAGCAGCAGCAACTGCAGTGACGCTGCGTGCGAGCTTTAGACTCGGCCCGTCAATTTGGAGCCAGTCCCAGTCCCGTTCCCCCTTCACCTGGTCACCGCTCGCCCTGTCAGAGTCGCCAAACCTCCGACTGCTTTTCAGTCCGCAGCTGAAACGAGTTGCTGGCGAAGCGTAAAATGCTGCTGCTGCTGCTGCTGTTGCTGTTGCTTTTATATGTTGCTCCGTTGCTGGTGGGTAAAAAGCAACGAACGCTTGACGGGGGACTGGCTTTTGTGTTGCTCGGTGCCTGGTTTGCCGTTGCCGCTTGGAATTGGCCAGAGTGATGTTGGTGTGGCAATAAAATTCAACTTCCAGCAACATCAAGCCTGGCGAACGCAGCTCGAAAAATCATCATCATCATCATCAGGCAGCCAGTTCGTACCAAGATGATGGCTAGCATTGTATAAATGTTGCTGTTGCTGTTGCTGCGGCTTATAATGATGGCAAGCATTTCTCCATTCGAACGAAAATTAGCGTAGAAAGTTTTCTTTTTGTTTTTGTTTTTGTTTTGTTTTGTTTTTGGCTTTTGGTACGTTTTTCCCGTTGCAATTTTTAGTGAGCTTTTTGCCTGCTGATTGGTTTTTAGCGCAGCTTTAAAGCGTGCCGAGCCGAGCGCACACACGGCGTATGCGCAACGAGCTTCGGCCGCATTACACATACGACCAGTTGTCACCAAAGAGAACAATGAGCCAGCTGAAGTGAAGTACTCGCCTTTTTAAGCAATTTCCCCCCGATGATAATAAGAATGAATGAGTCAGCCGTGGGTATGGGTATGGGTATGACTATGGCTTGGTCATGGAGCAATCAAGCGGTAATTCCAAGAAGGGAAACAACTTTCGTTTCGGGGGATTCTCGCTGCGTCTTCGTTCGTTCTCTGTTTCATTCCATTCCCAAAAGGGCGAATCCGTACGTAGCATGGCCAGCATGTCTAGACTCGCTCCAGCCCCTATACCAAAAATAACACCGAAAATACAGCTGCAGACGCGCGAACCAAAAACGAGGGATGAAATGCGATGATGAGACATGCGGCCGGAGTCAGAGGCAGAGGCAGAGGTAAAGGCAGTGGCAGTGGCAGCAGTAGACAGGCTGAGGCAAACAAGGGACAGGCCATGATGGTCTGGGAGGGGGTAGAAAAATGCGAAACACATGCGACTCGACGACGACGGCAACGACGACGACGACCTCGATGACGATAACAGCGTGTAGAGTGAAAACTCACCCTCTTCGGGTTTTGGGTTCGGGTTCCGTTGCTGCTGCTGCTGCTCTGGCTCATGTTCATATGGCAAGTATATTTCCCCCATTCAAATGCTGAACTGCAATAGCAGCAGCAGCAGCAGCAGCAGCAGCAGCAGCAGCAGCAGCAACATCAGCAACAGCAGCAGCAGCAGTGCCGGCAAACAGAAAATATGCGAGCATATGGCAACCCTTATGGATATGGGATATGACAAAGGCCGTTCAACGTTCGCACAGATGTTCAGAAACTCAAACTAGGGAAAGCCGGCAATTGCGGGGTGGCAACACTGAAAAAGGGGGAAAAACTTGAAAAGAGATGTGGGTTTTAAATCCCAAGCATGATTTAGCGATCGATAGGTATAGAGATTTTATCAAAATTTGGGTTTATTTTATAGAATGACAAAATAATGTAAAATATTGAAAAATAAAATGTATTTAAAATGATAGAAACACAAATATATGTCATATATTTTTTACACAATTGTGCAAGTATTACAAGAGAACTAAGTTTTGACTTAAAATCCTATTATATTTGAGTTAAAATAAATTAAAAAAGAACACAAGTAATAATATTTATGAAAGATATCTGCTATTAATTTCTAGAATTATTTTATTTTATTTTATTTCATTGTTATTAGATTTAAATTTAATTATTCTAAAATCAAAAATACCTTTAATACCACCCTATTTTTATGATCGGAAGCACAGTTTTTCCATAAGAATTCTTTCCTACCATTGTTTCATGTGTGTTCCTGTGTTGATCCAAAATCCAGTCATGGAGCACAACTCGAAAAAAGCCCAAAAATAGTTTCTAAAAAAGAAGATGAAGAAAATAAAAACCCAAGGAAAGACTGAGAGAAACGGAGAAAAGTCTCACAATAAATGTGGCGGAAGTTGGATGGGAAAAAGAAGAGCAAGACTAAGGCAATCGTCGCGCTGCCCACACAGTTTTTCAGTGCGTTTTATTTTAAGAAGATTTCGAGCAGCGTCGATGAGCAATGCCAGCAGCAGGCAAGGAGGGGAGACAGGAGGCAGAAGGGGGATTTGTTGTTGGTGTCGAGTGGGTGGCGGGAGGCAGGAGGAGGGTTGACTGACTGACAGACGGACGGACGGACGGACAGCCTCGACTTGGCCTGGCTTGACTGGCGCTCTTGTGCGCCGTTCTTGCTGCCTTGCTGGCATTTTCCATTTCATTTTCATTTTCATGGCTCGAGTGGGCGGAAGGAATCGGTCGGCAGGGGGTTGGAAAGGTTGCTTGAAAGGGAGCAAAAAAAAAAAAAAAATATATATATATATATATAAAGAGGGGGAGTTCAAGTCTGCCGCCTGACTTCCATTTTCTTGATAAGTTTTTCAGCTGTGCTGCTGTGTGTCCTTTGTTGGGGTTGTGCGAGAACTGGGAGCAAATTTATGATGCACAGAGAAGAAAATGTTAAAGAAATCTACGTAGGAAGCTAAGGAACTATAGTTAAATATAAGTAATAATATTTTGAAATTCATTTTACAAGTTTAAATGAACTAAAAACCATTAAAATAAGTTCTTAAAGTATCATATGATGAAGTGAACTTGAGTTGAACTTTATATCATTTTATAGCATACTTTTGAGCATATTTTGAACGATTTTGAAACTAAGAGTGTCTCTTTCTAAGGGTTTTTTGTACAAACAATTTCTTTGTAAATTCACAATTATTTTCCCCTGTGTAAAATTCCTTTTCGAACTCTTTTAAACTCTTTTGTATTTCCCATTTTATTTTTGTTTGGCGGCAAATCACTAAATAAATTGTATTCTTTTCGATTTACAGGTAAATTCCGCGATGGGTCTTCAAGCAACAGCCGCCACGAAGCGGAAGCATGAGCTGACCTTCGATAGCAAGGATGCCAACACCACCTATACGGGCACCTGTGCCCCGCCCCCCGTCAAGGCCAACAAGTGGGCCATAAGCAACAACAACTACCTGGAATCGCTCGAGGAGCAGCAACAGCAACAGTCGTCAGCGGAGCCAGCCTCCGCAGCGACCATCGAGTCCAACAACAACCATATAGTGGTAGATGCATCCATGGACATGGATATGGATGCAATGAAATCCACGGAGACAAGTATTAGCAATGGTCATGAAGTTACTACCGCCGTCGCAGCCGTCGCCGTCTTGAAGAGTCAAGCGGAGGTGCCGCTGCCACCGACAGCGAGTGCTGCCATACCGGAGGATAGCATTGCCAAGCTGGAGGTGGTGACATCCGCTGTGCCCTGTGAACCCTGGACCGGCGCTGTGGGTAGCTCCTCCACGCCCTCGTCAGCTGGTGGAGCTGCTGCCTCTTCGGAGCCCGTGGATTGTATCTCCAAGCTGCAGGCAGTGGCCGTGCCAAGTGATCCCTGGGGCAGTATTGCCACGCGTTCCACGCTGGCAACGACGCTGCTTAGTGCCGATGAGCTGGATGACGATGATGATGATTTCGAGGATGATTACGAGGAGGAGGAGAGCATCATACCCACCTACTGTCCCATGCGTTACCATCCCTTTGTGCCGCATCCGCACCCGCACTCGCATCCGCACCAGCTACCGCCACATCCTCTCCAGCAGCAGCAGCAGCAGGCACATCCCCAGCAGCTATCCCAGCAGCAGCAGCAAGGACATCCCCAGCAGCAGCCACAGCATCCCCAGCAGCAGCAGCAGAGGAGCTATGGCCCGGGCTATGGCAATCGGCAGCCCAACTATTATTCAGAGCCCTTCCCGCAGCAGAATTGCTCGCGAACCGGAGGACCGCAGCACATGACCCAAGCGCCACCGACGCCGCAGCAGGCGCGTGGATTCGCACCACCCCAATGGGCAACGGCGGGAGCTGGCAGCAATCCCTCGAATCCCGCGGCCGGAGGACAGCAGTTCTATGAGACGGCAAACGGAGGAGGACCCTATGCCCAACCGGCAGCGCCGCCACAGCAGACAATACGCTGTGCAGAGAATGGCAAATCCTATTTGGATCTGGGCTGTAGCAGTGGCTCACCCAGTGCCGCCGCTGGCGGTGGAGGAGGAGGATCACCCAGCAGTCCGCCGCCCTCTTCGGCGCCCGTTCCTGTACCCTTTGCCGGCCTGCCGCTGCATGGCTTGCCCCTGAAGCGATGCTGCGATGGCCGGGCCGGCGGATGGTGCAGTGCCAACAGAAGTTGCTACAAGGACACGCGGCTGAAGATACGCAATCTGTCCATGTTCAAGCTCTCCCGCTTCCGTCAGGTCTCAGAGCAGTCGCTATACCGCTCCGTGCTCATCTGCAACACCCTGAAGCGGATCGATCGGGAGATCGAGGCGGAGGCCAAGGAGTTGCATCAGGCGGCGCAGCAGCATCACCAGCAGGCGGCGGCAGCTGCAGCTGCAGCAGCAGCGGCGGCAGCACAAGCAGCGCAGTACCATCCAGCCTACCAGCAGCAGCAACAGCAGCAGCAATCCCCGCCAGCGCCACTGCATCCGCATCCCCAGCAGCAACAGCAGCAGCAGCAGATGGATTATGCGCCAGTTTTAAACTGTGCACGCTTGGCCAACATGGATCACTACCAGCAACTGAATTTCCAGCCCCAGCAGCAGCCTCAGCAACAGCAACAACAACAACAGCCGCAGCAGCAACATGGTTACCATGAGCGCCTGGAGAGCCAGCCGGCGTACAGAGGAGTGGCAGCGGGAGCCAGTGGCTTTGCCACACAGCCCAGCAACTGTGATACATCCCCCAATGGCACTGGCAACAACAACACAGCCTCGCCAGCGACAGCGGCCAGCAGTAGTCTGCATCCCTATGATCACTATCCCTTCCGGGAGTCGCAGTCTGGTCGAGCCACGCCCTTTCCCGCCTGCCCCACAACCACAGCAGCAGCAGCAGCGGCAGCAGTTTCCTCTGGAGCGGCAGCAGCAGCATCAGCAGCACCAGGATCAACCAATGGAGCCACCGCCGTCCTGAGCAACTGCATCACCAGCAACAGCAGCAATAGCAGCAGCAGCTCCAGTTCCCCCGCCATCAGCAGCAGCAACAGCGGCAACAGCAGCAACACCAGTTCCTCGACCGGCAGTAGTGGCAGCAACGCCTCCAATGGCAGTGGGAGCAATCCACCAGTTGCCTCGATCGTCAGCAGCAGCAATAATTGCGATACCAGCGATTCGGGCTATGCGGACGACGATTCCACGCGTTCCATCAACTGGAGCTCGGTGCTCAGCCTGAGCTCGCAATCGGCGCTGGATCCGCTCAACAACAATGATCTGTTCAGCATACTCCCGGCGGCGGCAACGCCCACAGCGGTGCCGGTTTCAGTGCCAGCCAGCAGTTCCAGCTCCTCCTCGTCCTCGACACTGGCTTTCAGCGGCAGTTTCACCACAGTTCAGGCAAACAGTGGGAACAGCAGCAGCAGCAGCAGCAGTGGGAGTTCCAGCTCCACCACAGCCACTTTTACGACTCTGTCCACCATCTCCTCGGCGACGCATTCACTGACCTCGTCATATGTGAGCAGCATCAGTTCGAATGTATCGGCGGGAGCCAATACCTGGGAGTATGGTTTCCTGGATATGGAGTTTGGACTGGGATCCGAGTTCACGGAACTGGTGCCCAGCTGCAAGCTCAGCTCCGAGGATCTGTTCAAGAGCGGCCTCGGTGGTCAGGTGGTGGCCGCCTCACGCCTTCATGACAACGAGCTGGAGCAGCCTGCCCACATCATGGTCGGCAGTTAGTATCAGTTGTAGACGACGACGACGACGATGACGACGATGAGGACGAGGAAGGCGTGCTCCTCGGCGGATAGCGGCGGCGTGCTGGTCGCGTCGCCAGCTGGCGCCCACTAGCAATTCCAAGCAGTATTGAAAGGAAAAGGGAGGAGAATGTATGGAGAGGGGATTTTCGATCGTAATTGCTAATTATGCTCAGGTTGTGAACGTGCATGTAACCCTTATCCTTTGGTCCTACGGCATCCCCTCCTCCAAAGCTCCGCTCCTCCACACAAGCAATCCGATGGCACACAAATTAATTGCAATTTATTAAAAAGAATACAACTTTGTAACTAAGTGAGAAACAGAAAAATGAAACAAAGAACAAAATTATAAAACAATGATTAATGACAAATGAGCAAGCAAAAACTATTAGCAAATTTTGATAAGTGTAAATATTGTTAGAAAAGTAAGTTAAAAGGCAGAGCAGCGAACTCCTAGGCTTAAGTAAGTTCGATGAAATGGAAAATTCTATATATTAGCGTAACTTTAGCTTTGTTAGTTGCAATTGTTGCAGTTTTTCGATTCCACAACACCAATACACCAACAACAACAACGTTAAAACAAACAAGAAAGAGCTGTTTGGCGAATTATTCAACAACAACAACCAGATCAATTAACAAAATTATGTTTTTGGCCACAAAGGATAATGAAAAAGCTGATGAAAAAAATCGAAAAACGTTTACTATATATTACTAGCCATAAGTATTATTATTTATATACAAGAACCGCAAGAAAACAACAAACAAACAAGAAAAGAACAACTTAAAACAAAGTTTTATAAAAGAAAAACAAAGCAAAAAGAAAAAACAAAAAAAAAATTAAAAACGCAAGCAAATATAAAGAATTTGTTTAAAAAAATTGAAAGCAATCTTTTGATTATTGGTGGGAATTCGATTATATTTTCAGATGGTCAGCAAATGAAAATCTTTAATGAATAGCTTTAGATTTATTAATATGATGAATTTATTTCAAAAATTATTTAAATTTTGCGTTGACATTACAAAATAATAGATGGCGCTTTATGTCAGATACATGTAAATATAAAGCAGTGTGGAATATACTAAATGGCACGAACTGCTTTATACTGCTTCGATTCACTTCATATCAGTGCTCCGACAGAGGTCGTCATAGCAGTCGTGGGGTAAAAACCATGTGTAAAATATTTTACCCTTTGCGGAAACGAAGCCAAACATTTTTAAGCTATCCAAAACCTGTCGATTCGATCACAAAAACAATCGATTTGGCTTTGGGTTAGTGGAAACGCGTTAAATACACTCGCGATGACACATCGCGATGGTCGACTATCGAATTATCGGCTATTGACAACACCAACGCATTAAGCGTTTTAAGATCGGTATAAGTGTGACCCGTTACATAGAGTTGAAAATCCACTTAGTTTCTGATGGATTCCGGTATTTTACGAAGAACACGAAACAAATATTTAAATTTAAATATTTATTTCGTACAAGAAATGACCAACTCCAGAGATGAACCAAATGCTACTTAATTATCTAAAAAATATATAAAATATGAATTAATTAATAATTATAGCTGTTTTAGAGATTTATGTTCATACATATATAAATACATATATAAAATATGAATTAATTAATAATTATAGCTGTTTTAGAGATTTATGTTCATACATACATATGTAAATATATATATAGAAATTCGGTGTCAATGAAGTTTCGAGAATGCAACTACACATGAGCATATCTCATGCTCTGCTCCAATAAGAATTAACATGGCAGGTCATATTTGTTTATAACTTTATTAAGTATTTGAATACAAAAAATAAAAAAGAAAACAAAAATTTTGGAAGGTTTTACAAACACTTAACTTTAAGTTAATGTTTCTTAGTAAATCTAGATGTTTACATCTGCTTCTTTTTCTTCTAATACATTAAGGTAAAAAAATATATAAAAAAAGTTCAATTGTTTCTTTGGATTGTAGAGTCATCGCTTTCATGCTCCTCGCTTTCAGTTGTTATATTTAAGGTAGTCCTGGACGCCTGCTGTGAACGCGCTTGAGGGTGCCATCGCAGGTGAGTTCATGGCGCTGCAGGAAGCCATGGAAGACGAAGTGGCGGCCACAGCGATTGCAGGTCAAATAACGTCGCTGGCGCTGAGGCACTCCCTCGTTACTGTTGTATTTCTGGAGACAGGCATCGCAGGAAGAGCGACGCTTAACCTGGCCGACATCAAAGGCGACCTTAAAGTTCTGTTTGCAAAATAAGCACATGAACTCCTTGACCACCAATTCCTTGCCGTCCTGCTGGGCGCTCAGGGCGTTTCCCTCGGCCTTCAGCTCGTCCTGGCGCTTGTGTCGCTCCAAGTGCGCCGAATAAATGCTCTCGTCAAAAAATTTGCGATGGCAGCGGGCGCAACGGATTGGCTCTTTGGTAGAATGCACTCCCATGTGCCTCTTGAGTTGTGTCACCGAACTGAAGATCTTTTGGCACTCCTTGCACTGGCGATTCTCCACTGGCTCTTGGCGTTGGCAGGCCCGTTCATGGCTCGTGAGGCCGCCTTGGGTGCGGAATCCGTTGCCGCAATGGGAACAAAAGTAGTGGTTGATGGTGTATCCAGGACTTTCCTGGATGGGTTTGTTGTCCGGCTCTGTATTCTGCTCTTTCACGGTCTTCTCGGCGACATCCGTTTTGCTGTAGACAATGTTCAGAAAGGACTGGCTGCCATTGCCCTGCACTTCGACCGTGCTGTTGCCCACTTCCAGTTGCTGCAAGGTGCCCCCGGTGGTACGCCGCCTATTCCCATCGCTGATCACCGTTTGGTCATTGAAGAGATCGTCATGGTAAGTGGTGATTAGCGGCAATTCAGGAATCTCCTCGGTGAGAAACGGATGCATGTAGTCCATGTCCCCGTAGTAAGGCCACTGCTCCTGGAATAATGGCAAAAGATCCCCCTCAACGGGTGAGTCCTCATCAAGCATGGGGTACATTTTGCCTGGATTTTTTCTAGAGAATGCAGTAGAATTTCTTGATTAGAGTTTGTTTACCGATCGCACCTGTATTTTGTTGCAGCGGCGTTTGGTAGCAGCTTTTGCGCGCACAAAAAAAAAAAAAAAAGAAAATGGTGGCGTCGAAAACTTGCTATCGAGTTCGCACATTCGATAACTCGATCAGAAAAACACTCGCCATTTCAAGTCAACGAGATAAACACATGTCGGCGAGTAATTAGAGAGGAGAAATTTAAAATAAAGCCACGAGTAGATAAAATTTAAGGCGGGTAATTTAAGATTGAAATTGAACGGAAGAGGGAATCTATGGCTGAGAAAACTTTGGTAGAATATTTAAATTAATTATAGGAAGCTAGAAACTTAGAAAGTGTAGAATTAAAAATATCAATAAAGTACCATCGATTTTATAACCGAAATGAACTCACTAACGTTAAGAGATATTGTCTTGTGGCCAAGCAAAACCAGAACATTTTAATAGGTTGTAATTAGTGATTGTTATCAGTTTCGTTGAGTTATTAAAGAACAAAAACAGATTAAAATCCAAATATTCTTTTGACCTACTTAAATACTTGTTACAGAATACTTTCTTCTACTTTATAAAGTCATCATAAAATCAATGAAAATACCATTTGACGACAAGGAACACTTGTTTTGGTCGCGACATTAAAGTACTTTCAATAGGATCAGATTTCGCAGCCATGAATGATAATCATAAACGGGGAAAGGCAAACAGTTGAAGTGCCTTTTGATAAACCATTAAATAAAACTCAATACCACAAGAACAACCACAAAAACAACATCAATAGTGAGATTTTTCCTTGAGTAGGGGTGAGTATTTCGAAATCAAACAAGAAACTGTCGAATTTAATTGAAAATGTCCATTCATCATAAAGAGGGAGAGAGACGAAGGCACTGGGCATTCCACCCTAACCATTCAAATGTTATTTAATACCTGCTCCTGCTCCTGCTGCTCTTCCTTGATTCAAGGATAATCGCATCAGCAGAATCAGAAGGAGCTAACAAAATTAGCGACAACACTGGGACTTGGTTCCGCGAACTTGTGGACGCGTGTGCCTGCCACAAGCATCATTATACACTAATTACCCGAGTATTATTGAAGGGCATTCAATCGAAATGGTATAACGAGTGGCAGTACCACTGCACTTGGTCCTGGAATTGGTTACTCATATATCTGACCGCAAAAAATAAAAAAAAGCCCCAGCTCTTTCCCTTTCGAGCCATCCTTGGCCATTGTTGGCTTGACTTTTCAGTGCCCGCGGCATTAAGAGCCACTGAATTGGCAATAAAAGATTATATAGCCCGAAGGTGTGAAGTGTAGCGGAGGAATCGAGCACAAAAAAAAAGGAAAACAGAACACAGAAAACACCCCCAACGGCGAACATGTGTTGCTCGGCACCAGTTCCCAGCCAGCAGCATCTCACTCGATTTGAGTGAGAATCCAAGAGTGAGTGCGCAGCCATATTGGCCAAGTCCGGAGCATCCTCCAATCAGCGCCAAAGAGGCTTCTTTGTGCCTTGGGTTGGCCAATGGCAGACCAGAGTAATCTCACGCTTCATATGGGTCACAATTAGGGAAAGATCCCTATTTCAGTTGTGTCTAGGGACCTCAAAGATTTCCTGGAGCTGTTGAGGAATTTTTATAAATATATATTTAGGGTTTTTGTATGCTTCAATCATATTTATATTTTTTAAAATTATTTAAGAAAGTATTTATTAATTCGATTCCATTTTATGGGTTATTTTAACACCCTATGTAGATAGTAGACCTTATTCTTATGAGAACTATTGAGGAACATAACAACTTTTATTTAGAATATTGGTTTAAGTAATAAATATGCTTGTAATTTTATGATGTACATAATAGAACAATAAATTAAATAACACTTTTGAAAAAAAAAAAAAATTTTGTCTATAACGACTTGGCTTTTAATGTTGTTGATGTATTTTTGAAAAAATAAAATGAATTTATTCTGTTTTGCACATCTAATAGTATCGGAAATAGTTTCATTATAATTTTATAAATCCATTAAAATACAAAGTTAGACTTAAACGAAATAAAAAAAGCCTTTTCTAAAATTATTCAAAAAATTAAAATAAAAGGAAAAAGTAATGTAGTGTTGCCAGTATAAATATAAAAGTTAAATGCGTTAGGAGTTTTGATTTATCTGCATTTTTTTTTAAATTATATTGCAATAAAATATTCTTAAGGAATTATCACTGAATAAAGCTATAGCGACTAAGACCACAAGGCCAAGAAATATTATGGGATTTCCTTACAGTTTACTCAATTTGAATTTAGTAAAAAAATATCTTAAATAAGTATAGGGATAGATAGCTAAGGAGCTATAGCCTTAGGCCCTTCCTTTTGTAGATATAAGTATGTATCTTTAAAATTTTAAGCTATATTTATAAATTACTTCTTAAAAAGATATTTCTAAATTTGCTTTTGTATCGTATAGATGAATCATTTTCCTTTATACATTTTCGGAAATGTAAAATATAGTAATAGCTAAAACAGAACATTCAGTTTTTTAAAAGTAATACAAATATCTTGATTGTAAAAAATAAAAAATAATGTTTAGACCTTGTCTAACAATTCAAATGTATTCCATTACCCAACTAACCTACTTACAGACAAGTGTGTGCATTTTACGTATACCTTTCCGACTTGTTTCAAATGATTTAGTTTCTAAACAAATCGATAAGCTAAACAAATCATTTGGGATCCCATTGGCATCACTTGTGAAGGACTGTACCTAAAATGTAACATTTAGGAAATAAAAAATAGGACTGAGAGAATAGTTAGCAGTTCTGTAAACAATAAACAGGATGCATGCACTCTCGGAAAACTGAGGCGCACCATATACAAGATGCATATAAGCGAAATGCCCGTAAGGCTCTTACAGCCAACAAATTTTTTGTTTACACACTTGAGAGGAAACTCAAAGGCTCTCTGGGAAAGAAACCACCAATGGAAGGAATCCAATCCGAAACGCGTAATACGGTTCCACCCCCCACTTGAGTACGGCGCACATTTCCACTCCGTGATTTCGAGTGCTTCTCGCCGGGGATCTCGGCAGCTATTTAAAGACAGCCCGGAGCGTCCAACCCAAGCACATTCGTTGCGCAGCTCTCGAGGCGTAAAGATCCGTCAAAGATTTTCCGGAGTGAAAAACAAGTGCAAGAAAAAATATTGAAAAAAATTCAAAAGAAAAGCAGAAACTAAAATGCTTAATATGGAAAGTGCGAGTGTGGGTGGCAGTGCCATGGCGGGTCTAAGTAAATCCCTTACAACGCCCTTCTCCATCAACGACATCCTGACGCGCAGCAATCCGGAGGCGCGTCGTGTGTCCAGTTTGGATTCCGAACCGGAACCAGAGAAATTTCGATCCTCCAATCGATCCGAGCGTTCCGCCTCGAAATCACCACCCCTTTGCTGTCGCGATCTTAGTCTTTACAAGTTCTCCAATACCAAGGAGATGCCACCAAATCCCAGACACCAGCAGCAACAAACCACCAACTATCTCCAGTATTATGCGGCGGCTTTGGAGAACAATAACAATAACATCAACAACAATAGTAATCATCATCACCAGGCAACCATCCAGCAACAAAATCCAACAAACTCCAGTGCCGCAGACTATATGCAACGTAAATTGGCCTATTTTGGGTCCACCCTTGCTGCTCCTTTGGACATGAGACGGTGCACCAGCAACGATTCCGGTAAGTTATGGCCAAACTTGAATCCTTTCAAAAGCAGCTAATGTCTTTTATGAAGTCCTTTTGTCCCTAGAGGCTAATTTTCTAATTTTCTGTAATTTTTTCTGTAATGTTTCCATCAATAGACTGCGATTCACCGCCGCCTTTGAGCAGTTCTCCCTCCGAGTCACCACTCTCCCATGATGGCAATGGTCTCAGTCGCAAGAAGCGTTCCCGGGCTGCTTTTAGCCATGCTCAGGTCTTTGAGCTGGAGCGTCGATTTGCCCAACAACGGTATCTATCTGGCCCAGAGCGTAGTGAGATGGCCAAGAGTTTGCGGCTGACCGAAACGCAGGTGAAGATCTGGTTCCAGAATCGTCGCTACAAGACCAAACGCAAGCAGATCCAGCAACATGAAGCGGCTCTCCTGGGAGCCAGTAAGAGGGTTCCTGTCCAGGTCCTGGTTCGGGAGGATGGCAGCACCACCTATGCTCATATGGCTGGTCCTGGGACGGGACATGGTCTGGATCCTGCTTTGATCAACATCTACCGCCATCAGTTGCAGTTGGCCTACGGAGGATTACCGCTGCCCCAGATGCAGATGCCGTTCCCGTATTTCTATCCGCAACCCAAGGTCCCTCAGCCCATACCACCGCCCACTCAATCCTCGAGCTTTGTGACCGCATCCTCGGCTTCATCCTCGCCCATTCCCATACCGGGTGCAGTGCGTCCTCAGCGAACTCCTTGTCCCAGTCCCAACGATCAAGGGACGAAGGTGGAGAGCGGTGCCGAGGGAAATCATTCGGAGGCGGAGGATATGGATGAAAATGTGGAAATTGATTGAAGGAAATGTGAAGAAGGATTTGCCATATAACCGAGGCACGTTATTGTGATAGCCTTAGAAGTTGTGTTTTAGTTTTAGTATCTATGTGTAACCAGTAGATAGCCAATAGCTTTAGTAGCCCTAAGTTTTAGTTGTACTTTAAAAGCTAAATAAAATTAAATTGTAAATGGAAAGATAAATAAAATAAAATCATGTATGGAAAAAATATTTAATGGTGTTTATTATTATTTAAGAAAATGATTTCTTGGTTATTATTTTAAAGGATATAGAATTTTGTAAATAGTTTATAGGAAAAAACAAGGAGGGAATTAACTTTGGGAATCCGAAATTTCTATAGCCTTGCAGAGAAAATCCATCATAACTCTGTCAAAAATGCAATAATTTTAATTCGGAAAGCTTTTCTGAGTTACTTTTTATTAGGTTAATAAATCTGCATACTCATATGAACAAATTAAAGTTTAAGTAACCCCTTATAAAATTTTGAAAATTTATTTTTCGCCCTAACAAGGCTACATCTACTTGGCTGATGATGATCAAGAATATATATGATTTGTAGGGTCGGAAATGACTCCTTCACCAATTATCAGTTCCTTATAGAAACATTCTATATTTTATATGATATTTTATGCTTAAAATCACAGTTTTTTAATGATCATAACAAGGCTAAAAATGCATTAATTTTAATTTGGAAAGTTTTCCTGTGCTAGTTTTTATTAGGTTGCCTTGCAAACTTCCAACAAATAATTATATACCCTTAAAGTTTATACAAATAAATGAAATAATGATTTCTTTCTCAAAATTCCCAGTTACATTTGTATCATTGAATTGATACCACATGACCTCAATTTCGCATCAACAGCCTGGGAGAGGCTTCTCTCAGACTCCTCAAGAATGACAGCGATCGGGGCGCTGTTGCTCCTCGAGATCCGTTCCACTGAAGTGGCCATGCGTGTGGCCCACCGAGGAAGCCTTGCGAAAACCGGAGACCGAAATTGGACAAGAAGGCAATGATGATTACCGACTATGACGAGCCCACTCAATGTCGACATAGAAGTGCTTCAATGTGTCAGAGAAGTCGGGACGGGTCGGACGTCTGTGTGACCCACAAACCACTGACTTACATTACGATTACGACAGGCGCTTTTGCACACGATCAGCGCAGGATGAGAGCGGAGAAATGAGGGGGTAGGGGTAGGGGACTGGGAAAGGACACATAGACATGTCCTTAGCGGCACAGTTGGTGGCTGACGACAACAAGAGGACACCATGCCTTAAGTGGCGCCTGGCGGCGACAATTTTAACGGCCCGACTAGGCGATGTTTATAAACAAACAAACAAATAGAATCACAAGCTGACGACGATGCCCATGATCGGTATTCGGGAAAAAGGACATCCATACGATACATGTGACCACTGGAAAATTCAATCGATTGATCATTGCCACTTTTAGAGGGAGCAGAAGCGACTGGCAACAATGTTGCTCATATTACTTTGTTGTTAATGTATAAAAATATAGATTTTCCAATCAGGAACTCGATTTTCACTGGGAAAAAATCACAGTGCTATAGATATACAATTAAATAAATTATATATATCTTTGATCACTTCTTTATATGAGTAATAATTTAACTTTAGTACTTAATGTATATAAAGTGAGACTTTCCTATATTCCAGAAGACAAGTGTAGTGAATTTTAATTTTAATACCAATCGCATTTCAATATTTGCAAGATTATGCACTTATGCACCTTTTTTCATAACTAATATTTGGAAATGTTAAGTGGGATCCTAAGTAAGCCTTTTTTCATTAATAATACATACTTAATATGTATTTATTTGTTGTTGAACTTAAAGAAATATATATAGTCTTTATCCGAGTGTCGAATATGGTTGCAATTAGGGCATTGAACGTAGCACTCCGCCGTCTGCCAACTGAAATAACAATTTCTTTTTTGGAATGAACGATCTTTAAGTACATATAATGGTCCTGATGGCACATTCTTTCACTAAAAGCCCGCAGGCATTTGACAAATTTGGGACACTAAAATCGATTGACAGTTGTAATTACTTGTGTCAATAAAAGGGGTTTTTAGCTGATATTTTGTATTCTTTTGGCCTCTCTGCTTGTCATAATTTTGTTTAAAGAAAATATTTGTTATAAGGAAGCTTGTTACCAAGGCAATGAAAATAAATGGAGAAACAAGAAATTATAAATATATATTTAAAAAAGAAGAAATAAATAAAAAAAAACTGATGATAACAAATAGTAATAATAATAATATTAAATCAGAATCAAAGCCATATAATAGTTATCACAAGATATAATATCATTGAAATTAAATGGTTATTGCGCTTATTATTAAATACCTAATATGAGTTATATATATATATATAAATATGTATATATAAAATAGTTATTAATTACTTAGTTTATTATACACTAGTTTATACAATTTGTATTATTATTATCTCGAATCAAATTAAATTGCTTAACAGAACGACCCATTGCAACTAAAAAAAAAGGCTTGAAATATTTTAAAAATAATGTAAGATAAACTAATATGAAAATAAGTAAAATTAAATACCTTAAAATTTATAATAGCTAGAAAAACGTTCTAATAAGTCATTTAAGTAATATTTGAAGATGGGGGGAGACGGGATCCACTTTCGAAATATGTATGTTTCCGATTATATATAAAAGGCGTATACAATCTTGACTTAAGACCACCTTTATCTTAAGTTATTTTAAATATTAACTTACGACTTCTACTCATAATTTCTCCCCAATGCAAATACATAATATCTTTGAGTGAGAAACCAGATTGAGTGCTTTTTCCCTTCTTAATGTGAGTGCAATTTAGTGAGACTCTCCCCTAGGCTTATGCCGCTCATCTGCGGTAATTCATGCTCACTTTGATTTTGAGTTTCGGCTTTATGGCATGCTTCGTAGGATTTCAGATTTAGGAAGGGTTGAAGATACACACACCCACACACACACCACCGCTGCATGTGGTCTGGTGGAAAGTAAAATCGCATTCGTCCTGCTTGGCTACTAATTTGTTTATATTGCGCCGCCTTCGGATTTGTTTATGCAACCTTTTTTTTATGACACACATGCCCCGGTGCCGGTGCTACAAACTGTCAGCTACTTGAAGGCAATCCTTTTAAAAGAGGCCGCCGATATTTGACTTGTAATTAATATGGAAAATTACCCAAGACTTCCCTCTCATTTCCATGTCCCAAGTGGCGTATGCGCGATCTCGGGAATTGCAATTAGTCGTCGCCTGTCTCCGGACAGCCTTGATGGTAAACAATTTTAGCATTATTCACTAGCTATTTGTTTAAACATTCTTAATGGGTGAGACGGGTGCATTCTTAACAAGAGAGTGCATTTAATGGCGAAATGCAAATTCAGAAGAGAAACGACTGAGGAAAACCGTGGCCCGGACAGCTTAAAGTGTAAACAAAATGCCCGAAATGTTCACTTATTATAAAATGCAGTGCATTCTTTTTTGTTTTGGCCCATTTCGATGCACTTTGCTTTAGCGTTTTGGCGTTGTCTTCCCATGCTCCTGATCCCCATCCTCGCCCACAACCCGATCTCCGATCTGGATCTGATCGGATTCGACGTCGTCGTCGTCGTCTGCTGCACACATGTGCGCCATAAAAGGAGGCCCAGGCCAAGTCCGGAGGATGAGCATCGACTGCGACTGACACTTCGATTTGCTATTGCTATTGTTGTTGTTAGTGTTGGTGTTGTTGTTGTAGTTGGTGTTGTAGTTGGTGTTCTTGTTGTAGTTGGTGTTGTTGTTGTAGTTGGTGTTGTTAGTATTGTTGTTGTTGTTGTTGTTGGTGCACGTGTTCTTCTGCCGGCGGCACAGTTTGTTTATGCAACAGCCTTGGTCCTAACAGTTCTTGGTAGGAATAACTTCACAACAAATTCATCAACTAAACTCTAAAAACTCTAAAGTTGTATACTCTAGGTGTCAGAGGGGTATATTTACAATATTTACTTGTTGAAATTTTTAAAATTTGATTTAAATTTAATATGTTTTTTTTTGTTACCTCCTATTATTGGTTCTTAAGTTTGTTATTCTTAGTAATCTCTTGACCAAGCCTACAAATTCTTTACATTTTTTTAGCTTAAAACTAAAAACTTAAAACTTTCACAATTTATAACAAAAAGTGGTTATAACTTTGGGAACTAGGGATTTTTGGGCCCTATACTTAAACCTTGCAAGTTATTAATTTCAATTTCAGTCAGAGGCTTAGAATAGTGTCAAGGAGTAATTTCCGACCCCATATATCAAATAAAATAAAATATCGATATACATCTGCCTTTTTTAGGTAGAACCTTAACATTATTAATTTATTGCTTTGGTGGGTAATTGCTTAACTTTACTATTTAATATTTTTAATTTTATATTAATAATATAATGGTATAATTTTATATTAATTTTATATCAAATGTTTAATAATTTCTGTAACTAATTTACTTAGACATTTTTCCCAATCATTCTTTTCTCTTAAATAATATATTTAAGAAGAGCATTTCCCCATCGATCATAGTCCATTTCAAACCTGATGTTGTTTTTAAAGTTGTGCTCTTTGTTTTATGGGATAGGCCGGGTCCAAAGAGGAGGGTTCCCCCAAATAGGGATTTGAGCCAGCGACATTGCCTAATTGCTGTGATGCCAGGCATCAGTGGGGTTTTCCCCTGGTTAGGGGATTCGTTTTAGAACGATGGCTTTGGTTTCTATAGGTAAATCGTATATTTTTCCCCCAACCGAACATGAATTGCCGTAAACAAACACGAAAGCAAAGTACAAATGATGCCTATTTATGTTTATTTTGTTTTGAAAATTGTGCGTTTAATTTATAGTTAATTGTTTTTCAGCTTTTCATTAGCCAACCAAAAAACCGGAGCGGTGACTGTGTGCGGTCCCCGAAAAAATTCATGGGAATTCAGCCCACATAACCCGGGGCGGATGAAATTATATGGATGGATTGGATGGAGGTGGGAGATGAGGATGAGGATGAGGATGAGGCCAGGCACCAATTGTTCGTGATGATGGTGCTATTTGCGCAAGTTGATGGTGCCCGCCCCCTTTCCTCTCTCTCTCTCCCTGTGTCCAACAAAATGGCCACCCACCTCAATTTCGAATTCAATTTCCAACTCAATTTCAAACAGCTGCTGTTTGAGTTAAAAATCTTGCGCAATGCTAATTCCAAATCGGATGCTAAATCCAACCACCCCGCTCTCGGTGGCCACTCCTTTGCTTATTTGGCTTTAAATAAAAAAATCATTTAAATGATTTTTGGGAACGGGGCATCATTCGGCTGCTGCTGCTGCTGCTATCCATGAAATTGAATGATAAATGTTTTGGTTTTTGTGATTTTGTTTATTGTTCAAATTTCGGGTAAAAAAATTTCAAATTTTTACCGCATGCATAAAACGATTTCGGGTTTTTGCTTCTCTTTCCAAAAGTTCCTATATGCTTTTTCTTTTTTTTAGTTTATCGCATTTTATAGACGATCATTCAGATCGCGCGAATGTTGAGTTGAGTTCAACTAGCACTAGATGGATGGTTTGTTTTTGGCGAGCTGTTTAGATGGAAATGTTGTGGTAGAGCAGACTGAGAGGGATCAGGCACACACATGTGTCCATGTTCCTCCATTGGGGAGCAACTTAATTAACATTTTTAATGGACCTGCCGACTCGTAATGTCGAACAATTAAAGTCCGGCAATAGGCATTTGTTTTGGTGCCTTGCCTTGTGCATTTTAAGGCGTTTAGTGAGTGGGTGAGATGTTAGCATTTTCCCCATTTCCCAATGGTTTCAGTCTTATCAGCTGCCTGAGGAGCGCCTCTGAGCAGGCGGAAAACACTTGAAGATCCATTGATAAACAGAGTCAGAGTCACTTTGGGTATGGGGATCTGTTTTTCCCTTGGCATCGAAAAGTGTTTGGATCGCGAGAAGAAAACAACAAAAACGGAATGATGTCGTATACATGGATAAACACTTTAATGAAACAGTTTCCTTTCTGGAAAAGTTTCTGATGTCTGAGGAATCTTTTTTGGCTGAGCACCTGCAACTTACTTGGCTCGTTAATCGTTTGTTTTCATATATTTATTTCGAACAACATAAAGGTGCTTAAAGCCTGTTTAAGTGCCCATTGCTTAGTGTAAACAGTTGAAAGAATAGATGCCTTTTACTGAGTCATCTGAAAGAGTGGGTGCTTTGAGAATTTACAGTGGACTCTCAGTTCAGAGGAATTGGGGAAAGTATATATTTAAATTTGTGAGAAAATCAATAGAAACAAAAAAGTATGTTGTCAAATAAATGATTGCGAAATTAGAACTTTAAAAGTTTAGTAAATAGAACATACCATCATTTTGTAGAAATGAACAAAAATACAACACATGATGCTTATAAAAGAACAGAGGTGACATATATCATACAAAATGTACATTTATTTATTATTATATATATTTTAATTTTATTTTCAGCAATTTCTACATATAACTTTTATAGAAACTGACTGGGAATCTAAGTAGTTACAATATCTTGTTAATAAAACACTCTCCTTAAGATTTAATATAATGCAACCATTAACAAGTCAATAGATTCCTCGTCTGTTGGCCTAATTGGCCTTTTATCATTCGAATTACCTTGAATTATCTGCAATGCATAAATCAACATCCATTTTGTGGAATAAAGAGCAGTTTAATGCCTCGTTAGCTTTCGTCACTAAGCTGAGCAATTTAGGTTTCAAATGAATTCCACCTACTTTTCCTTAGTGGCCTCTCTTTCTTTATCTTTTTCCTTCAGTTTTTCTTCTCTATTTTTCATGCCCTTCCTTTTTTTTCATAATGATTATAAGCAGAATTTCTTTTCGGATTCTGCCACCCAAAATAACGCCTATCGGCCACACCCACTCCAATGTCGTCGTCGGCAGCTATTAGCAGCAATTTTCAATTTCCTTTCTGATGAAGCACATGGCAAGAGAGCAAATTACATGGCGCACAAGATGGGACATTCACTTTTCCTTAGCTTTTCATTTCTTTTTATTTTTCCCTCCCGTACCTTATGCTCTTTTTGCCCCGTTTTTCTCCCTTTTTGAACTCAGCGTCCTGGCTGGTGCACACGTCCGCAATTGTCCTGAGCGCTCCTCCTTATTCGATTCGAAAAGAAGAACATTTTCTTACTTACTCCTGTCGCTGGGTGGCTGAGTGGGTCGAAAATAAAGCCCAGACGAGCGACGGGCGCAAATGAACGGCCATTATGTTTATCCGAAGTGAAAGCGACGGCTGAAGTGAATTTTTAACGAGGCGAAGGAAGCCCGTCGTCGAGAAGTTGCCCAGCAGTGCGTTGCAGTGAGTTGCCAAGTTATCCTGCCGGCCAAGGACATGCTTCAATAGAATAAGAAGAAAATTACACTTAAACGCTGCGGCGTGTCGACAGCATCTCCTGTCGTTGACTTAGGTGGTCAGCTTTTTATACTAGAGGCAAAGGTTACTCTTATTTTTCTTAGATGTTTGTAACGCTAAGAATTAGTATATTATGGGTAGTTACTATTGTAAAAAACCTTTATATATATTAGTAATAAATAATTAGCTATCGTTCATAACAATAATGAAGTGATTAACCAGATCTTAAAATTAAGTCTTGTGATCATAAGTTCTTTATTTTCATTTCCTTCCTTTTCTGGTTTTCTATTTCTTTTCTTCGATTAATTAATAAGTGCGACGAATCCTAATTTCTTCTTAAGCTATCATTGGTGGAAGTATATATGATATGATATTTGGATAATATTTAGTATTTTTCCTCCTTATAATTTCTTACAATTCCGTAACAACTTAAAGAACATTTAGTATTCGGCTTTCCCAAAGTTAAATTTATTCCGCTCCTTCCAGTTTCCACCGGGCGGGTAACCAACTTTGATTGGACTGCTTTCAAAGGTGACTATCTCCAAATTGCCGGTCAATTAACCATTTCACCCAGAAGCTCTCTCATCTCCCTCATTAACCTGTCTTCATCAATCTCGACTGCTGTGCATAAGGCAAGGAATTCCAGTGGAGAATTTCAAGTTTATTTGCCTAAGCCGTTGACAGACAAACAGCTTCGGATCACCCTTTCCGCGGCATCACTCATACGCCGTGTGCGCCATCTGCATTAACATATCATTAGGGCGTGCGTGTGTGTTTGCCTGTTTATTGACGCTTTTGTTTACAATAAAGCGTAATCATGTGTTACAAATACCAATAATAATTCGAATGGGCAATGTAACCCTAGCCAGCTAGCGCACAGCATCCGAAGCGGGGCGTCGCACCCACTTCAATGTCAGTCCGTGAATGCATAATGAGCTAAATGTAAGAATGTATGAATGTTTGTAGTATAAAGGCCATATATAGAGTAGAGGCCTGCTCCACAGTTCGTGTCTCCGCACTCTCGCCTCAAGTGCACTTGCCGGAGACGGAGACCCCGCCCGGAGTCGTGTAAACATCCCATTTGGTGTCCAACATCCAAATGGCGCTGAATCTGGCACTGGCGCTTTCATTGCAGGAAGCAACTGTCTTTTGGGTCAATTTGTTTATTCGAAAATATGCGATTTACCAAAATGTACAAGGGATATACTTATCTGTGTAAAGTATGTAAACAAGAACTAAAAGCTAATAAATAAAATAGGAAAATGCCTAAATAATTATTTAAAATTATATCATTTTAGGAATAGGTTAAGACAAGAAAGGGAAGCATTTTATTATTTAACATTAATGAGGTTTATGTGACTTTTATTTTGTATTCAATGCAAAAATATTACTTATTTACTTAAGATTTTGGCCACTTTTTCCCTTCCATAAATCGGAATTATTACAGCTAAATCTTTGACTAAATAATTTCAGAGGGACAAATCATTTTCCCAGGTCTTCAAATATTTTGAAAGCTAACGATTTGGAAAGCGCATACTTCGCAGAAATATATATGTATAATGATTTTGAGCAATCCATGACTATATAATGATCATGTTGAAATCCCATTAAATGATGATCCCTGATGAGTAAGCTTCTCTAAAATGATATATATCTTTATTTTTGGCTTTTGAATTTTTTGCTCAATTCCTAAAGAACACTTGGCCTGGCACTCAGGCGCCTTAAGTTGTATTGTATGCCCATCCCATTTGGATTCATTAAATACTTAAGTAGAAGCTCAAGTGCCAAAGCTTAAGTGTACGGGGTTATTATTGCAAAAAAAAGTATATAAAAGGCCAACAAAGGGCAGGTCAAGTATTCATAAAATAAGAACATGTGGTAATAAGGAAATGATATTTTGAAATGAAATAATGTACATAAATTGTATCTACAAATTGTAATAAATCAAAGTGAAATTACAAGAGTTTTTAAACTGAATTTGATGAAATAATAATTCGATTTTACAAAAATAATGTCAATCAATAATATATTTCATTGATTTTCTATTTTATTTATTATTTCTTGCCCATATATATATGTTTCTGCTCCGTTTATATTGTATTGCATTAATTTGTATTTATTGCCTCTTCTTTATATTCGAAATTCTTTTCGATGCTTTAAACACTCGAAAAGTTTTATATAATATCATAACAAATAATGATATTGTAATTACTATAATAGCCATGACATCCAGTAGATACAATTGGTACCAGGGAAGGTTAACACCCTCGGCCACCATATGCGGTGCTCCTCGATGCTCAATGACATAATCTATCCAATACATGGCTGTATCCATAGCTCTGAGAGGACGGTCTCGAAAGATCTTGGAAGCTCGATCCATGTTAGTTTTATATTTGGGATTTGTAAGTAACTCTTTGAGGGCCAATTCAAGTTTTTCCTCCGATATGTACCGATAGTCCAATCCAATGGCATAACCAGCAGCTATGCCCTCATTTATGTTGGAATTCTGATCGAAATAGAAGGGCATTCCGAGCACAGGAACTGCATGATGAACTGCCTCCTGCATGCCAAAGAGTCCGCCATGAGCTATGAAAACCCTCACCTTTGGATGGGCCAATATGTCGGCTTGTGGTAACCATTTCTCCACTTTTACATTTTCGGGGAGATTTGCCAATTTGTCGTTTTCAAATTTCCACAAAACACGTTGTTTAAGTCTGGCAAAGACACTAAGGAAGATCTTTAGCTTCTCTTCGGGCATGTCAGAACTGCGTACTTGAGATCCTGAAGGACTAGAGTTTATATAAAATGTACATTTGTTAATTAAAATAAATCTTACCCAAACTAAAGTATATAGCACCGTGTTCCGCTTCATCGAGAAACTTTTGTATATGTCCTGGCAATTGTTTGGGTGGCAGGATGTGCAGTCCTCCCACAGAAATCATGTTAAAGGGCATGGGTCTTGGTGAAGTCAACGGCATATAGCTATTTAAAAATATGGCCGATATATTTCTTTCCAATTCCTTAACCCTTGGTACCTCTGGCAATAAATTTCCAAAATACTTTCTTAGAATGGCATCCTGTTTCGGATAATAGAAAACTTCTCTATGCAAATCCTCTGCTGCTCCAATTACAACATTTTCCAGTCTCCGCCACAGGGTCATTTTATCAGTGCAGGATAAAAAAATATTGGGAACATACGATAATGGAGTTATAAAGCCAAAAATTTGGCTAAAATAGTTGGCAAAGGCAAAAGTTGAAATGGTAATGACCGGAACTTGGTAGAGATGCCCAAATATTAGGGCTCCTTCATTGTAAAACTGTTCCACCAGGAGAAGGTCATATTTTCCTACTTTATCCTTGGCATGAATTAGCTTTTGAACTTCGGGTTGGCCCAAAGCAAAATCCGTTGACTTAATACCAATGTGTTGGCCCAATTTCATGGTTGTCCATTTGGGTACATCAACCATATCCAGAGCCGAAGTGGTCTTCATTAGATCGGAAACTGTTTGAAATATTAGTTATTATTATTATAATATAGTACAAATATTTAAGACTTACTATCAGCCCATGTGTTGTAAAGTGGTAAAAGAACTTCCGTGTAGTTGGCTCCCAGGTTTTCCTTGGCCAACGAAAATGGTGTTATAAAGGTAACCTCATGTCCACGATACACTAGCTCTCTTATAATGGCATTTGTCATCATAAAGTGACTTCGAACAGGTAGAAAGAAAGGTGCCAGAATTCTGGCTCCTTCCACATGTCCACAAAAGAACAATAATATTAACCTGATAATAGTTGCAAATAGCTGGAAAATAAATTAAAGAACGGTGATGAATTTTAAATATTTGATTTGAATTTTAGATATAAAAAAGAAAAACTCTATTAATTTACGCGTTAATAAGAGAAGCACTCATTTCGTTTTATTAATATAACTTATAATTTTTGTTTCTTAAATTTAAACACTTTACAAACCATTTTTTTGGCTATGAAGCTACTCCTTCTATATCTTGATCACTGGCCAGTCAACGGCATACTGATCTTCTTAACATTTTGGGTAGCTGCTATTTTTCCACTGTTAATCTGTATAATACAGCCAGGTCATAACATGAAGATGAGTTCATTTCAAGATCACAGCTTGACATCGATAAGAGAAAGACATTTTCCAGGTTTATCTTGCAAGAATGTTGGTTTATTTAGGGGATTTTTGGCAAGCGTTATCTTGTCTGGAAGACCAGAAGTCGTTCAGTAGACTTTATCAGCAGTCTCCCTAAGATAAGGTTGCCAAAAATATACTTTATTGCTTTTATTTGTAGATTTTGTACATAAATATTATTACTTTAATCTTGCCTTAAAGATACGTATCACAATATACCTACTTTTATATTTATATATAATATTTTGTCTTGCATTTAAGTGATCTTCAATGGGGGATATAAAACAAGTTCAAGATTTTCCATTTCAAAACTTTCCTCTTCAACTTTATGCTGCACACTTCCCAAAGCGATCAAGCTAAACGATGGGAAATCGTAAATAAATCATAGGCATTTGAATAAATTAAATATTTATTTCCCGGTGCCAACACCCACACACATACGATTGGTGTGTGGTAAATGATGCTCCTAAACTGGATGCTGGTTTCCTTGTAAATCCCAGCTATATTGTACAGTAAACAAATCGATCGGTATATGACCAATGTGCAACGATTATAAATGGTTAAATTGCAATAAAACTCAACGCGCCAATTTGTAGGCAATTAAATTTTATATACGATCAGGAATTTCGATGGTGGATTGCTCCATGACGTCCGGACTTGGTCTTCGGAGATCACCACAAGGGCGGCTGGGAGGCTGGGAGGCATCGATCATTCAATTTGGCGTTGCAGACTTATTATTGTTTACTTTGTCATATTTTGCCAATGTGTTTTTATTGTTCTTCGGTCCGCATTCGTACTCGTATTTAGATTGCCACTATTTGTTGCTGCATGCCAGCCAGCAGTGATACTTTGTTTATTGTCTCGGCCAGGCCAAATAAATGCAACGGCTTTTCTGCGGTAAATTTGGCTTCTACTTCTTGCTTCGACTTGGCCATAATAAACCTTGATCGGCATTTATACCCATCTGTGGGGATTTACACAGAATAGAATATACGAAACGCACTTGCCGGAGGGAGGATGGACTCAAGTGGATAAAGTTATTGCGAATTTCCAAATCTATGCGGATCCACTTTGGAGAATGCCCCATGCAATGGTCTCAACAGCCTCCAAATGCAGCCATAAAATGCCCAAATGCCTCGTCCCCCGCCGTTTGAACCCAAAAGTGTTCCATCAAAATCAAAGCTTTTAAGCCGCGGCCTGAAGTGTTTCGCTTGCGTTCTAATTTGCCTTTGGCGTTGGCATCGGCATCGAATGTGCAATTAGCCGCTATTACATTAATAATACGCGTACTTGTGTCTTCGACAGCAGGCCAAAACCCAATGGTAATTGAAAATTCCGATATTCCGATATTTTCAATATATATGGAAATTGAAAAATAAATTCAATTGAAAAGCGCACATTTGGCCAAAGTGAATCGTTTGTGCTTAAGAGCTTAAAAGTGCGCATCTTGCTTCATTGCATCTGTATCTTTATCTATTTGTGTTTCTATTTTTTTGCACTGAGGGGAAAATGTCATCTGAAGGTAAATATTTTAGATATGGTAAAATAGTTTCGATCTTTGAATAATTTACTTGGCATTGATTTTATAAACGACTTAAATGAAGCACATAACTTAAGCAAATGAGTATAGTGAACAAAGCTGTAGAGTCAATAAATATTTTTCATAGTGAACAAAAAGGATGATGAGAAACTCAAATCTTAAAAATTTATTAAATATTTAATATATTATATCAACAAATTCTTAATTTTTGTTTTCATTCCATATTTGTATCTCCTGTTTTTATTAAGGTCATTGTTCATAAGCATCTATTACATAATTTGTTTTGCCAGATTGTATTTATATTCTTCATTAGTGTACTTTTTCGACCTTCTTTAACGCCCGGCGACAAACATGCAACTGGAAACCACTGTCTCCGTCGCGGATGCACTGGCTCCATGGATCATGTAATCATGCGTGTGGCTTTGTTTACAAATCACGCCTTGTCGCCGCCTCCGGCCAGACAGGACACTCTTGAGAAGGTGAAATATGTGTGAACGCAGCGCCGGACTCCTGGTCCTGCGTGTGGCCACAGTGGCTAATTGGGATCGCCACTCGAGATCTGTCTAGACATCTGTTCTGCGGTGGTCCTCTGCGCCAAGTAGCTTTGTTTGGACTGCCACCGCGGGACATTTGCGACACATTAGTTGACCACCGTTTGGGAAACAAATGCTGGAAAAGCGGAGCACGCCAAGGAGGAAAAACCGTAGGGGGAGTGGAGACCACACAACGCTCCGAAATAACACAAAACCGTACTCCAAATAAGCAAAGCGCAGTAACAACAAACAAAGCTACACAGGGATGAAAATTTGATTGAAATGAAAATTAAATTATGTTTTGGCAATGATTTCAATAATGCAAAGAAAGATAAATAAATGAATAATAATAAGAATATTGTTTACCTTTTTTAAGTAAATAAAGTGATAAAGTGACAGTGATCATTCTTAGGTCGCTCTATGAAGTTCCGGTTTGATTTCAATTCGAAGCTCTAACAGATTCTAACAGATAAAATTCTGAAATTATTTAAGAAATATTAAAGATTAAAGATTAGTTCTCGATCCCTTGTTTAGATTAATTCTGCTGTTTAATGTATGTAATTAAATATATTAAAATCGCTTATACCACCAACATATTTTCGAAATATAGCCTTTAGACTGCATTGTAGATATTATCTTCTACTTTACAAATACCAAATAAATTGTAACTATTTTAATCTAAAATAAATTACAACATTTTCAATTAGAACATTTATTTTCTCAGTGTAAATTGATGCTGGGGAATGCATTTAATGTACTGGCGGAACTCCTCAGCCCATCCATTCATACATTTATCCTCATCCATCCATCAGGGCCATCAGGTGTGTGGTGGCGTTGGCTTGGTAGCTGTGGATGTGGATGTGAATGTGAATGAATATGTGAATATGGGATGTGAACATGAATGTGAATATGGTTGTTCCACTGCCGCCGCTGCCGTTAGAAGCGCAATTTGTTTATGCTACTTCGTGAGCAATAAAAGCACAGACGGTCATGTGGGTGGTCGTGGTCCCACCTTCGGGTCTATTGGATTTTATGCAGTCGCTAGTTATGATGTACCATTCCATACATCTGGATGGGATGTACATACATATGCCAGGAGGGGGATGGATGGTTTGGTAGCGCCCGTGTGCTAATCATCAGCAGCTCTTTGGAGCTGTTCATGTGGAATTAATCAGAGCATTGTGTTCCTGGACTGGTGTAGCCCTAATCCCTGTGGGAAACAAATTGAGTTCTAATTGAATTGATTTCCAGCGAAAGCGGCCACTTGCAAGTCTGTGAACGATCTGAAGCTAGCTGTAACTCTGAAGTGGCTGCCGAATAATTTGACATAATGCTTCTTAATGAAGCGCTGCTATCTGCGTCTGAGAAAGGGTGCAGCTACTCAAGTCAAGTGAGCTCTCGTTGAACTCCAATGGGGTTCGGCAGTTTATTGACCTCGAAAATATGGCTCCCAGTTGGGAGTGTCAAATTTTTACGCCCAACAAAAATTACTAAAGATATGCAGCAATTGTTTCCACAGATTAAAAAATAAAAGTAAACATTGGTATACAACATTTAGAACAGTTTTATAACCTTGCAGCGTATTATAATTTTAGTCAAAAATTTGTAACGCAGTGAAGGAGTTATTTCCGACCCTATAAAGTATATATATTCTTGATCAGCATCAACAGTCGAGTCAATATAGCCATGGCCGTCTGTCTGTCTCTCAGTCGTAAAGGCATCTGAAAATAACTTTCCAGTAAGTCTTCTTTAGAATATAAGTCGGAACGAACCGGATCGAACGACTATAGCTGCCATAGGAAAGATCGTTATAATAATAAAATATTAAATAGAGTAGTGAATAGCTTTCTCTCTCTGCCCCTCTCTATCTCAGACTCTCCTTCTCTCTCTCCCCTCTCTAACTCAGACCCTCCTCCTATCTCCCTCTTTCTCTTTTTCCCTGCGTATCTCTAGAGACATCTCTTGCTCTCTATCCCTCCTCCCATCTAAAGCGGGAACTCATTCACTCTCGCTCTCACTTTCTCTGTTCTCTTCACTCGGAGGCTATAAATACAGACTCCGCCGATGCGCTTGCCTCATTTTGTTCGCGGCCTCCCCCCTGTCAACATCTATGGCAAAAGAGATAGTGATTACACTTCGACCCCAAAAATATCACCTCACCATTGAAATACTCTTGGATAACCAGGAAAAAACTGAAAGGGAATACTAACTTCGACTTCTCGAAAATAGCTTGCTTTCTTGTTTATACTATCTTTAATTAAAATTTGACAATAAGTTTTATAAATAAAAAGGCCATAATTAATTATAGTAAATATAGTAAATATAATATATATAGTAATGGCCCCTACTTAGATATCGATAAACAAATTTATTTACTCAAATTATAGTCCCAAGTATATCATCATCCACGGGTACTGAATCCCAAAGATACGATCTACACATGAAATCGCTTGTTGTTACTTATCTGATGGAGTAGCTTTTGCTATAAAACTCCATGAAATAGATCAAGTGGTTCATTCGGGGAACATTTAAGTTACTAAAATGTTTCAACGGTCGCGTTTTCCAAAGCAAATATTAATCCTCCTGAAAATTTTGAGCCTTTCTGTTGAAATTCAGTATGAATTAGAGTTTGAGGACGACAAGGTTTTTACTAAATGTTTGGATAACCCGAACGGGTTCAAGGACATACATGGATTGTTTGATTTTACGAATTTTTCCTTCGAACTTGGTGCAGAAGGTCTCGTGGTAGGTGGAAAGTTTACATCTGTGTGGGACGTAGAGCCGACTGATCGCATCGAGGTAAATATATATTTAAATAATGACCAAATACTACATTATTATTATAACTCTTTTAGCTCCGTTCGAAGACATTATATTGGGAACGTGGCTCTTGGCAACCGACAATTCTCAATGTTTATGTTTCTGATTTCTGCAAAGTTATGTACGACAAGAACCAGATCTGGTACATCAGTCTGACTCAACATATCAGCAACAAGGAGGAAATTCGAGACAAATGCGTCACACATAAAGGAGTAAGTGGACATCAGTTCAAAGGACTTCAAATATGATTGGTGAACAGTATTTAATTAAATCATCTTCAGACCTTATTTGTTATCGAGCCGTATTTGATGAAGATCTATTTTGGTGCTGGGATGGTGTTTCCTTCTGGACGGCACCGGGTTATACTTAATATGGTTGCGATTGATCTGAATAATGTAACACGACCAAATGGAGTATGCTTCGAAATAACGGGTACATTTTTTAAGATTCCAAATTAAATTAAATAAATACAAATATACTACTATATTTATATTTGCGTTTTTAAATCTTTAAAAATATTAGCCTATAAATGATTATCAAATAGTCTTTGAGTATTAAGATACATTTATTTTGACTAAGGAAAGTTTTTTAAAGATAATATTATATATAAACTATATATATATTATAGTAAGCTAAAAAAAGTATGCCTAAAAGTGGGTCATACTCCAGATTTTTTTCATATTCCAAACCAAATTATATAACATGCTAATTTGAGTTTCTTTAAGTAAAAGTTGATTAAAAGAATACCCAGGCTTGCATTTTTAATTAAACTTTTGGTTCGTTAGACATTTTTTATTTTCAAAATTATTTCTGATTACATATTTTCCGCTCATCATGTATTTTACATTGCAAGCTCGGTTGCGACACCTAGCGGTGTCGACGGCCTCAAAGCGCCCCTTGAAGACCGTCATAAGAATCTCTGAATTACAATGTCCAAATTACATTCCAACAGATATATTTCATATATTTAAATTATTTACAAAAAAAAAAGATTAAATGAAGCCAGAAAGCAATTAATTAATTAAGAAGTGTTCTTTAGCGAGAAATATTTAGGTAGATATTATAAAATGGTAGAGAATTTATTTTTAGAACCGCTTTCACTTAAATACAAATTAAATTAAAAATTTTGCTTGTGATTTATCTTGTTGAACTACAATCAGAACTTTTTTTAAAGTTTGAATTGAAATATAAAATTATTCATTATACTGTGCATATTTGAATATATTGTACGTATCATATTCATGTGTCAATATTTAATTGTCAATAATCGATTTTTATTTTACATTACAATATACAATTATTTCTATACATTGGAAGTATTTTACATGTGGGTAAGCGTAAGCGACATCTATCGGAGTCGATGGAGTTTCAATACTATTTTACTTTCTCACATTGTTTTTAATTTTTAACACAAATATCTACATTTGTGCTGTCACACTTATGTATATACACAAAAAAAAAAAAAATTCCCGTGCCCTCCAAAAAGGAACAAATTATAATTAAAAATAAAGATTAAATGACTGCAAAAGTGATTAAGGAATTAACACTTTAACATCAAGAAACATTTTAAACTAAGTATTTTATATATAAAGAAAATATTTTAAGGGATATATATATTAAATTGAATTAATAACTAACAATTTTCTCATTAGGGTAAAATAACAATAATTAAGCAACTCTTCTTGACAACTTAATTATAGTCAATCTAAATATAATCGTGATCTACTCCACAGAGCCTTGTAAAGATGATCTTTACATGAAATCACTGGTTACTAATTATCTGATGGAGTAGCTTTAGCTATATAAACTGCACCAGATACAGGATCGTGTAGTTCACTCCCGAGTAAATAAATTATAAAATGTTTCAACGGTCGCGTTTGCCAAAGCTAATTTTAGTCCTGCTGAAAATTGTGAGCCTTTCTCTTGCAATTCTGTATGAATTTGAGTTTGAGGATGATGAGGTTTTTACTAAATGTTTGGATAACCCGGACGGGTTCAAGGACAAACATGGGTTGTTTGATTTTACGAATTTTTCCTTCGAACTTGGTGCAGAAGGTCTCGTTGTAAGTGGAAATTTTACATCTGTGTGGGACGTAGAGCCCACTGATCGCATTGAGGTAAATATATTTAAATAAGGAGTAAATATTGGACTATTAATATAACTTTTTCAGCTCCGCTCGAGGACATTATATTGGGAACGTGGCTCTTGGCAACCGACAATTCTCAATGTTTATGTTTCTGATTTCTGCAAAGTTATGTACGACAAGAACCAGATCTGGTACATCAGTCTGACTGAACACATCAGCAACAAGGAGGAAATTCGAGACAAATGCGTCACACATAAAGGAGTAAGTGGACATCAGTTCAAATATGAATGGTGAACAGTATTAAAATAGATCATTTTCAGACCTTATTTGTTATCGAGCCGTATTTGATGGAGATCTATTTTGGTGCTGGGATGGTGTTTCCTTCTGGACGGCACCGGATTATAATTAATATGGTTGCGATTGATTTGAATAATGTAACACGACCAAATGGAATATGCTATGAATTTGTAGGTACATTTTTTAAAGTCGTAAAGTGAATGCCGCAAATATAATTAAATTTCATATTAATAACATATAAATATATATATTGCATTAAATTTTTCGCTTTTGAAATTTTAAACAACGAAAGGATTCCGGGGCTTTCGTTTTTATTTTGTTAGTCCTTTTGTATGCTTATGTCTGCAATTGATTTAAATAATGTAAAATGTAATATGCTTTAAAACAATAGTCAAGTTATTAAAATTATTAAAAATATAAAAAATTCCTGTTAAACTTAAATTAAACAAGACAGAAGTAGGGGAACATTTTGATAATTCCACAAAAAATATTGCATTTGTGCTGCCGCATTCATACAAACTTTATTGTTTGAGAAGTCCAATGTTTACTACGGGGCCATATTTTAATGCAAACTTATTATCAAATTTGGTAGGAGTAGATTCTATAGTTTTTGTGATTTAATAGACAGGCCGACATGGCTTAAACGACTGAGCTGGTGGTGCTTTTTAAGAATAATTATATTTTATGTGGTCGGCTTTGCCTCCTTCTACCTGTTACACAAATTTTCAGTTGGCATTAAAGCTATTACAATACATACCTTTGAACCCTGTGTATACTAAGTATAAAAGGTATAGAACTTACCGTACTATGGCATTTTTTCATTTATTTTTAAATAATGTTTATTTAATAAATTGAGCACGTTAACTATAAATAAATCACAACCGAACTCATTGTCTGCATCATAAAATGAATCGTTCTTTACTAGGATATACATATAATATTACACATAGTTGACTTAAGCACAATACAAATTAAAGTACATTGAGTTTGTTTACTATTATGTTGTGGTTTAATGTGCAGTGCCTTTCATACCTTTTCATGGATTAAAAATCAAATATGAAATGTAATACTTCAGTTAGGAAAATCAAGAGATATTGTGTTTCTCTTCTTATTATTACTTCACTTTTTTGGCAAATTAAATGAGAGTTTAAGCCGTTCGATAATTTACAAAGTAAGCTAATCACTGCGTTGCATGAGTGGAAGTGGCATATTTGGTGCTGATGCAGTTGGTGGCTGCGGATATAGCAGCTTGCCATCAGAGTAACGCATCAAAGTCATTAGCTTCAGCATTCGCAGCTCCTCCTTGTCCTTGTCCTTGTCCTTGTCGCGATCCTTATCCGTTCCGATACCGCTATGCGTCTGTGGGTGGCGCAAGCGATTGCGATCTGCTGACTGGTCGGGTCTTTAAAATACTCAAGTCATTAACGTTCTCTAAAAAGCTATTGTTCGCTGACAGTTTCACGCTTTGCACGTCCTTTTTCAGTTCCTCCATGTCGCGCTTGAGTTTGGCACGTCGGTTTTGGAACCAAGTAATCACCTGTGGATTGCAAAAGTTGTATTATAAGGAAACTTTAAGAAAGATATTTCTAATTTTAAGAAACTAAGAAAAGCAAAAGATTTTTAGTTTTGCAAAGCAATTCCTATCATAAACCTGCCAAAAGTTTGTATATATATTTATTTTTTGATCTATTAAATAAAAACTTATTAATATGGCATTTAGTGTGATATTTTAGTTCACATATATCTATACCCTTGGGTATTATGATCTAAGTCGAAAGCATGAAAATCAATGAAGGTGTCATTTCGGACCCTAAAAATCATGAATATTCTTAAATTATTTTTGATTTTTTAAAACCTAATAAAAATTAAGACAGGACAGCTTTAAGATTGGAAATTAAAGAACTTTTGACAGAGTTATGATGGATTTTTACTGCAAGGATATTGAAATTTCGGTTTCCCTTCCTTGCTTTTAGTTAGCTTCCTTAGTTATCTGACTATATTAAATATACTCTTACGTAGCGCCTAACTATCACCTTCTTCTGATTTGATTTAAATAATTTGATTTGGTATTTAATCCATGTTTAATCGCTTAGATATCATACTCACCTGTGCATTGGAAAGGCCCAGGCCGCCGGCAATCTCATCCCGATCCGCTGGCGAAAGATATTTTTGGTATAGGAAGCGCTTCTCCAGCTCAAAGATCTGCTGGTTGGTAAATGCAGTGCGGGACTTGCGTTTCTTCTTTGGATTGGATCGCGTGGCGAATATATTCAATGTGGCGGGATCTGCAAAGCAACAAATATCATTGAAATCATTATAAGAGAGCCACGTTGTCTTCAGTCAAAAAAGTGTGATGAGATCGTAAATTATTCAGCGATCAGTCAACTTTTAATGCTTCACACAGCCGAGTCGATGATCGTAAAACGTAAAAGTTTATGGGGCTTTTGGCTCGTTTTCCGCCGTAGAATTTGACCTTTCTCCGGAGAGCCGTCTCGAGGATGCTTTATAAATGATCACCTTTATGGCCGATCTCTACGCAGTCACTGGCACTTTCAATTCAATCAGTGAAATGCTTGTGGTTAAAACAATTTCAATGGAATTCATAATAGACAATCCGACAACAGCAAATCTCCGGCCATAAAGGTCGACTTGGGGGATTCTCTAGCTGTTGCCCCGATTTATACCATCGAATTTTATTGGCCACGCTGAATGGAATTCCTCTGTGTGTGTGTTGTTATTGTTTTCTTAAGCGATTCGATTGGGATTTGATTCGATGTGGATTTTTTGATGGCCGGTATTTGTTTTTGGCATGTTTAAAGGTAATACGCCGGCTGATTGATGTTTATACCTCTTCTATTTCTTCCGAAGCATTCCGCGGCGGAAATGGCTTTCAACCCAGTTTGAGTTTAATGGAGAAGGTAGAGCAGCCCAACCCAGCCCCATTAGGTATTGTTTATTTATCGCTGGCAATTCAATTTTTTCGCCTTTGCGATCAAGTTCTTTTTCTTGTTGTTTTTTATTAATGCCCGATACTTAAATGGCAGGGGAATGATCCCGCCTAGAGTATCAACGGAAATAGCTGTTGCTTCATTTGCTTAAGGGGTTGAATATATGTATATATCGAGAGAGATATTATAATATAGGGAGCTAGAGGGAAGGTCTTTTTAAGGGAAGTCTGGCGGTGAAAATGGCAGCAGCTGCAATCCTACAGCAACTTTGTTGTTACTAAACATGTCCGACAATTAACAATTAAGACGCCCGAATTCAGTCCTTGAACAGCACGAGATATGGAATACTAGGGTTGATTCAGTTCCCCTTCTTCTAAAGGTTTTTTTGTGGCTCAAGTTAAAAGCCATTTTGACACTGTCCCCTTGTGTTTATGGCGAGGTTATCTAATCTTCTGGTTTGTAAATGCCCATTCAGGTCTTAAGGGGTTGATTGTAGAAAAGAATAAAAATAATACATGTTTTCGGTAATGACTTTGTAGGTTTAAGTAATGAATTTATTTTGGATCTAATATGTGCTTAAAATAAATTAAAACCATGTATATATGGCTCACCTCATATACTTCCTCTTAACCAACTTAATTACCTATTTTCAAATATTTCCTTTATTCAATTTATAATTTTTATCGAACACCGTTATATCTTATCTAAGATCGATTCATTAACCATATTAAACTGACCCCACTTGCTATCAATAGGCATTCCTGGCCCCAGAGTTGGCCACGCCTCTAATCAAAAGCCATGGCAAGCCTTTTCTTGGCCAAAAAGTGGTTAAGCTCGAACTTTGTGATGGTTTTATTAATTAAAAAAATATATATAGACTCCATTCGGGGGCTGGACCACTTCGGTGCTGCACATGAAGTTGGTGGCTTGGAACTGGAATTACAACTCGCACCCACACCTCACACGTCCTCGTCGTGACCAGTAAACAATGTCATCAGCATAACTAATCATTGTGACAGCCGGCAGGGAGATGCCGGGTGACACCGAACCAAACCAAACCAGGCCACATTTAGTACAATGATTCCAAGGAGCTGCTTCTGTTGTCTGGAAAAGTAAGCATAACTTATGCCTCCTGGCAGCGTTGCTAATTGAGACACAAACAAAATGACGCATTTTCCTTACATAAATAGACTGAATTACTGGGTGTGCTTCCAACACAATGAAGTTAACACTAACAAAAAAATATATTAATATATGAAAAAATATATTTATTAATAGTAAAAACATAACTAAATTCAAATATGATCATGATTTAGAAAATATACCTGATTTTTTATTTAAGAAAAAGTATTTGCACTACTGCAATAATATATAATTAACAGAAATTGTTATTCTTTTACGTTCAGATAAATTTTGAAAGCGTAGGGTATCGATTTGCTTCTTTTATCTGGCTATTATCTCTATTGGATAATTACTTATTAGATATATTAATGATAGCGGCAGAAAACGACTTCAAGAGTATATTTATGGGAAGTTATTAAACACTAAGTGTAATAACCCTTTACAAATTGACATCCCTTACTTAATGAGTTTACTTAGCTGATTATGACAGCTTGTTTATGATATTTTTTTCAGTGCATTAGTTGAACACGATACGAGAAGCATGGCGTGCCTTATCGACGGTCAATCTGAAACGCGGACTTGGAGCGCTTGGCTAATGGCGTTGCCTGGTAATTAGGCAAATTAGCTGGACTCTACTGGCTACTGGGAGGCACATAAATTAACAGCAATTAATTAAATACTCGCTGCTTAATGCCAGATCACAACCCACTCTTCCGGGGAAGAGTACAACAGAGTACAACACACAGGGCTAAAAGGTGCCGCAGGGATACAATTCAATTAAAGCCAACTCCAAATCAATCAGCCGAGATCAGCGAGCAGTAATGGTAATCCCCAGGGATGCAGAGCCACAAACAAAAAGGGGAACATCATAATAAAAGCCAGCCAGCCAGAGATCGCAATCTCAAGACAATCGGGCTACCAAGATGCATATCCCTTGGCTAAGGCTAAGGCTAATGCCCAAAGAGTTTATTTACCACAAGGTGCCTGCTGTTCACACGCTCTTCAAATGCCTCGCATCGCTTCGGACCCTTTGAAAGATGAGTGAGTATCCGAGGTAGTAGGTAGGCAGCCAGATACCGATTTAGATCCAGATACAGAACCAGGCCAAAAGCATGACATGTGGAATGTGTGATTTGGGCACGCCGACGGAAGACTCAATTAGAAGACTGGACTTTTTTGGGGGCTTTCGGATTTATGACCACAAGGAATTTCACATTCTCAGGGTCTGGCTAAATACCTGCCAATAGCTTTACAAGTCTGCCGCCACCGCAGAATTATGACAAAACCGGCCAGGGACAGGGACAGGACCAGGGACAAAGGCGACCTTCGGGATGCAAAAGAGTTGCCGCCACTGCCGCCGGCGGCTCAAGGAGTTTGGCTAAAAGCGCTAATTATGGCCAGAACGGAAAGCAGAACGAGGCTGCTGCGGCAGCAGACCGCAAATTGCGTTGTCCAGAAGCTCGAACGCGTAATCAAAAACTAATTTTAATCCTGTTTGGGGGATCACTCCCGCTTCGCTTCAGCTTCACCCAAATCCCGGACACACAATCCCAAAATGAAAATGAAAACGAAGAGTAGGAGGAGTTGGAGGAGCAGGAGCAGGAGCAGGAGCAGGAGAGCCGATCGGATCAGAGATCTTTTTAGCGGTAGGTCTCAGTTAATTTATTCTAAATGGCTTTTTGAAATCCCCGAAACATCTCGAGAAATTTACTTATGACGTTGCCGGCGTCTTTCTTTCCCCACGAAAACCAAACCGCAGGATACACAGAGGAAAATGAATATTTTATCATGAAAATTGTGGAATGAGATAATTTTTTAATAATTCTATAATATTACCAAGAGGGAATTTGTTAATAATAATAGATGTAAGGAATAATTTTTAAGGTATGTAAATAATTAGAAATAAAACTACGGTCTCATATTTGAGGAACACAGGAAAATTCTGATCAACAAACATATCAAGCAAATAAATAATCAAAAATTTCTTTATATATTTTAATGTGCACTATTTTCGATAATTTATTTGAAATTAACATTAAATATATCGATCTTTTCTTTCATCCCTTTCTGATACCTAATCTTGACCAAAGACTGTAATTTTGAAAAAACGGATCGTGATAGAGCATTTTTCTTCTAGCATAAAAAAAAATATAAATTTAAATATATTTCCAAAATTATTGTATCAGTGTATTAACTCTGTGATCTGAGATCCAAAACGATGATTCAGACCGGATCAAAACCGATGGCGGGCCCTGCATATTTTTCTCACTTCGGCGTGTCTGCGTGTTGTTAGCAATGAAATTGATGAGTTCGAGCAGGTTATAAAACCCGATACCTTTTGGCTACCTTTTGTTTGCTGCTTCTTTTTATTATTACTATAACTGCCGTGTTGTTTTTGTTGCTGCTGGACCTACGAAAAAGCTGAAATACAATAACACAAATTAATATAAGAAGATGAGACAAATTTAGCCGCCGACAAAGTGAGCTGGGCAACGAGTAGAGGGGGGATCGCAGCTCTCCATAACGAGAAAGTTATAAATTTTGGTATTTTCCTTTTGGATATGGAGTCTGGCTTGTGACTTGTCGACTGGTGGGGTCTCCACATTTTACTCCGAACTGCGATACAGTCATTGTTGGGCTGCTTGTTTACACGCTCGTAATGCGCCCAATAACTTTTTGTATTTTGTTGTCATTTTGTACCGCCTTGGAGATCTTTGGACCAGCCTGGGATCTTGGATCTGCGGCCTGGCAGAGGCTTCAGGTAACCGAACACGTCGTTCTGAAGTTATTTTAAGCCGCACAAATATAAGTTATTTGTGAGTTATTTAAGAGCTGTCGATGGCTACGATTGGTAATTGAAATCTGTGAGGCACTTAATAGATCAAAGAGGTCAGGATCATATTTCCCAGTATCTTGAACTGAAAGCCCAAAGATCTAAGTCTTTATATTTTTATAGCTCTCTTAAAATTCCTTGAGACTCCTCAAGTATCCGTATAACCAGGACTTTCACTGTACTTTTGAATTGTCCCATATTAATATTAATTGAATTTTTTCATATGTTCCAAAGGCAAAAGCATCGCTTTCCGGCGTAAAGTTTTTCATGTTCATGTTGGCCCGCAGCTATTTTGATTGCAATATTACATCTTGTAAACATTAATATGGCCAATAATTTCCGAGTGCTCCGTCAATTTGCAGAGCTGAAAAACATGTCAACG